GGGTATGGAAATGAAGACAATTAAATTTGTCCTATTACGAATGTTAAATAGGCCATTATGACTGTACTTAGTGTAGTTAATGTGATGGTTCAGAGGTAAAGCAGAGCCCTTTCCAAACAAATTAATAGATCCAGAGGAATAGGAAAACATGTTACTTATTCTGGTCATACCTGCTGGTAGCAGACTATGGTTTAGAATAGATTTAGCCTTTGAAAAGATTCACACTTCCTGAGTTGTAGCATTTTAGCTCTCCAAAGTAACAAAACCAGGTATGTGATGATATTGGCCATGATTAGCCTTTGCTAATATTTAGGGCCAAACTCCCACCATCCAGATCTGCTATGTGGTAAACTTAAAAGTTGGTAAAACTCTGTTTTGAAGAAGACTCATCATAAAACCCTTAAACAACCCACAGCCCACCCCCCAAAAGACAAGGGAACAGGAAGGAACACAAAAGTTCAATAAGGGCAAATGTAGGGTCCTGCACTTGGGGAAATAACACCAGTACAGATGAGGGGTTTTCCTGCTGGAAGGCAGCTCCACAGAGAAGAACCTGGGCGTGCTAGTGGACAAGCTCACCACGAGCCAGCAATGTGCCCTCAGGGCCAAGAAGACTAGAGGGTTCCTGGGGTGCATGAAGAAGAGTGTAGGCTGCAGGTTGAGGGAGGTTCTCCCCCTCTATTCTGCCCTAGGGAAGCCACATCTGGAGTACTGTGTCCAATTCTGGGTTTCCCCGCTCAAGAGACAAGGAAATACTGGAGAGAGTCCAGCAGAGGCTAGAAGGATGCTGAGGGGACTGGAGCATCTCTGTGATGAGGAAAGGCTGAGAACCCTGGGGCTGCTCAGTCTGGAGAGGAGAACACGGAGGGGGGGATCTTCTCAATGCTTCTCAATATATAAGGAGGTGAAGAGGATGGAGCCAGACTCTTTTCAGTGGTGCCCAGTGTTAGGACAAGGGGCAACAGGCACAAACTGGAACACAGGAGGTTCCATCTGAACAGGAGGAAAAATTTCTTTCCTGTGAAGGTGCCAGAGCCCTGGGACAGGCTGCCCAGGGAGGTTGTGGAGTCTCTTTTTCTGGAAAGAATCCAAACCTGGCTGGACACAATCCTACTTTAGCACATGGTTGGACTAGATGATCTCCAGAGGTCCTTTCCAAACCCTACCAGTCTGTGATTCTGTGAAACACAGGAGAGCTCACCTCTGCTCCACGGGGTTTTTTGCAGAGCCACTGTGGATCCATGGGAGGTTGAGGTATAGTATTAACACATGAGGGTTCATCACTTCATCTGGCACATAGGCACCAAGCTGTGCACGCAGAGAGCATCGTCTTGGCTGTGCCTGAGCCAGCGCCTGGCTCACTGTGGCCAAAACCAGTCACCTGCCATCCCAGCCACATCAGCCCAGGACCCCAGTAAACCAGTGCAGCCAGCTCTTATGCTTCCAAATGCACAGCCCACCACCGCTGCTGCTTCTTCAGCTCTGGGAGTAACAATACATTCATAACCTTCTATGCACAATCATATCACATTGGAAAATCAGCACAGTTTCCATGTTTTCTTACGTATATAGCCCATCACTTGCAATTAAAAAATGTGTTTAGTAGAAATTACTTTCTTTCATCTATTCACTAGTTCTTTACAGATCTGACTCCAAACACGCCCGTCCTGTCTGAGAAGCTATTAAAGCACGTGGATCAGAGTGCCAGCATGCAGCACAACCCTGTGTCCCCAGCACCTAATTCTGCTACATCCAATTCCTCTCTGCAGGCTACGAGGATGTGTGACTGTCAGCTCAAGATTTTCCCTACCAAATTCAAGATGTCTGCCTTCATTTTGAGGGTGGAGATGCCTTGGCAGGAAGATGCTGGGAGGTGAGGTACCAGGAATGAAACCAGGACCAGAGAGATCCCAGCAGCAAGTGAAGAGCCCAGAGAAACAACCTGGATAAAGAAGTGAATCAAGCCAATGGATACAAGGGAACTGCTGGAAAACAGTAACTGACTGTGACAGTCTGAAACAAGCTCGGCTTCTTTACCACACACCTCTCCTGTTAAGAGCCTACATTTTCATTCAAGGAGGCCTTTGATTCTGCCAGAAAATTTCAGAGGGAGCATCTTCTGTTTCACCTGGCACAGCCATTCCCATTGTCAACACATCTTAGGAGTATTTCTGCTTTACAACGTCAGCCTCGGTCAAGTTTTGAATGCTGCCTAAGCCTCATGCTGAAGCTAAAAAGATAATTCACTCACCAAGCCTTGTCTCTCCCAGGGGTACCCACACGTGTACCAGCCCATCTCCAACTCTCTCTTTACACAATAAAGTCCTCAGACGCTGACCATGGGACCCCAGTACAAAATGACAATCGGCCTGGTGTCTGCCATGTCCTCATACTCTCTTTATCTACTTACATGACCATTATTTTTTCCCTTGACTCAGAAATACCAAAACACCAAAGGCAGAGATGGCACCACATCAAAGTACCTAAATTATAAGGGAAGCAGTTTTATTTTCACTTGAGCAGAGATTTTTTTTTTTTTTTTAAGTGAGACTTCAAAATACCTTAAAAACATAACAGTGATGGTAATGGGACTGAAAAATTTGATGGCATCTGAATAACATAATTCCAGCACAAGTATCAGAAGATAAGATAAGCCACACCAAAGCAGTTCCCAGGGAACAAACTATAATGACATTCAGGTTATATACATCTCATCTGGGTGGCAATTCTGCAGAAGATGTGAATTAGCAGTCCTGTGACAATGAAGAAATGTGGGATTAAGAAATAAGAGAAGAGGAAAAAGGGCTAGTTGATTCTCCCACCGCCTTTTCTTGTTCCTAAAATTTCTGTTGCCTGGAAATGGCTGATGAGAAGACAGGATTATGTAAGTGCTTGCCAACTTTTCACATGTTAAGAAAACTAAAGCCTGAGTGATGGGCAGCTTAACCCACCTTCTAAGTGGTGAGCTAAAACATGTTTACTGAGGAGAACTCGAACAGTGAAACCCCTTTAAAAAACCCACGAGTGATGAGGACTTGACAATTCCCAGGATTAAAAAGCTGCATACATTACAGACAATGTAATCTCCTTATAGGAAGATGAGGAAAAGGAAAATAAAGCCTTTCTGGTGTGCAAGATGGTTTTTGTTTTAAAGTATATACATCCTGTCTGACTGAAGACTTTCTTGCATTACTGTCTTTTTTTCCCTCCCGATAGATATGACAGAACAGAGCTATACCAGCGCTCCAACCCCATATTAAGTTATATTTTCCAACAAATCCACTGCCCCCATCAAACATGATCCATCAATGATAAAATAATAAGCACTGTGCTGTAGAAATGTCTCTTCCTGAATTTAATCAGCCTCACACTTAGGTGCTACAAGAAAGCAGGCACTCAGGAAAGTGCAAAAAATCTCTGTGTAGTTTGGAATATGACTTCAGTGACTGTCACCTCAGCAGACCTAAGCTTTCCTGACCAATTTCTTATTGTCGCTCAAGTGGCATGTTACCTTCTGCAAATATTCTAATTTGACTACAGCTGAAGGCTAGTTTCAAGTATAACCTGCTAGACCTTTTCAATTTCTTACAAAAAAAAATTGTGTTCCATTTTTCTTTTTCTCTGTTTACCAACAGAACACTGGGGTATCTAAAATGAGCAAAAAATTCTTGCAGTCATGCTTCTCCAGTTCCAAACAAATGTGCTTACATTGGCGAGAAAGCTGAATGCACTGTGGATGCTGCTAGAAAAGGTGATATTCTCAGCAATGTTTCTGAGGCACTAAAAAAACCCAAATCCTGCTGCCAGCTGAAGTTGCACTGTCCACTGGAGCATCAGCAATGGAATATGGCAGGCAGCAAGGACTCGATTTGGAGACCAAACCAGAAATTGTGTTGTGTGCTGTTCAACTGCTGTTCAAGCAACAAGGTTAGGACAGCAAAATAAACTCTGCTATTTACTCCAGGAATGCAGGTGTCATCACACAGTGCAGGTACGTGCGTCTGGAAAAGGGAATATTAATTTTCCAGGTTGCCTGAAGCTCACTTACACCTTCAGGAAAAGAAACAAAATCCCAGACAGTGGATTTTTGTACAGATGCCCAACGATGGCAAAGGGTAAATCCTACGCTGGTGATAATGGTTATGGCTCCACTGAAATATGATGATGAAGTTTCCTCTTTGGTCTTACTGATGGAGAGGAAAAAACAATCAATCCTATGTGAAGAAAAGCTGCAATGAATGAGTGGAACTAGATGTGAAATTTCGCGCCCAACTATGATAATTGTGAGATGTCTTCAAAAAGTTAGAACTGGGCAAAGCGCCAGGCAGCCAATTACAAAACTGACACTCCTTCAGCTTTAAAAAAGAAAAAATTACTTCTCAGAAATGCCAGAAGTGACTCAACCGTAATTTTTAAGCCACTTTAAGAGCATCCTAGTTGTTTCAAGTAGTACTAGGAGTTTACCTGCTATTTCCTTCCTGTAAGTGGAAGGATGAGCCATCAAGGTGCTCAAGCCAGGCAAAAAGAAACAAAGTGATTCTTGTGACTGCTGTACTATTAATATATTGCTTTTTCTATTCTGAACTGTCTTCCCAGTGAATTTTAAAATATGTAAAACCAGGAAGCACAGAGCAAATAATGTCTAGCAAAGTAGGTCATTTTCTTAATGGCAGTGGGCTGCTCTTTTACTCCCACCTTGTCTGCAATATGGACACATACATTTCAAAACACATATATTTGGGTCTGCAAAGGAGGCCGGCAAATGTAATTGTGGAATTGCTTGCTCCAAGATCAAGTAGAGCCTAATTCAGAAAGACAAGCAGGAAAAAAAAAGTCATATCTTGCACCTCCTATATGAGCTTTGCAGGGAGTTTTGACATTTTGAAGCAAATCCTCTTGCCGCGCGTAAGCTGTAGTTTGAATGTGCTGCACGTTGCATATTTCATTACAAAAGCAGAGCCACGTTATTTCATTAGACAAGCGATAAGTTCAATCCTTACCAAGTTTTCTTGGTTCCTGGCTGCTATTTTCTGATCATCTTCTCCCCCATTTTTCATGTATTTGACCTCTTCCACTGGTTTGATCCTATACTCATCTGAGCACCAAGAAAACAAAAAAAAAAAAAAAAGAAAAAAAAATTGAACCAGTGTAGTTCAGCAGCTGGGGAAAAAAAAAACAAACTAAAACCAAAATACCTGACTAGAAAAGACCCTAATTAAGCAAAGCAACTAAAAATTACATGTATATAGTTTTAAAGGCTTAAATGTGTCTGATACCAAGGAAGATTTTCCTCACTGAAGCTTCAGTAAGAATTTGCAGTTCTGTCTTCCAGAAATTGTTCAGTAGCTCTCTGATCTAGTATAGCCACAGCACCAGGAGCAGGGGATGGTTAGTATGTACTCTCTCCCACATCCCTAGTTTTCTGTTCAATACGTTTAACACAAGTTCTTTCCCTCTTGCTTCCTCCAGTGGGCAAACAACCGATGCACAGTAGTTACTACAGAGAGCAGTCTGCTCATGGATGCTCCTTGCTTTAAGAAAACCTCTTTTAAAAAGCAATGCTGATGGACACCCTTTAAGATTAAAGTTAAAAGCTGGGGGGGGAAAAGCCCACACCACAAATCACTGCATTTTAAAATTTATTTTTTTTTCCTGCCCTGCTTTAACTGATCTAAATGAAAGGTACAGAACACAGTCATACAAGGATTTCTGGAGAAAAGGCACCATGCTGACCAGTTCTCTCCCCACTCTCCCTTCTATGACTATTTTTCCTGCACAGGAATGTTCTCCAGACAGAAATCCAGTGTGAAAATAAATAATAAGAAAAGTAAGATTCCTGGTTTGCCCTTCATATTTATCATCTGGGTGCTTCAGCTCTTCAAATAAACAATTCCTAGCTCCTGTGCCAATACTGAAACATTATCTAACATGCACATGCTATCGCACAGTAAAGGAAAGAGCCTCACCCAAAGCTTGAATAAAGGAATTTTTCTTTCTTTGGAAAGAAAAGATGTGATATTGGGAAAAGTGATTCTTCTCTCTAGCCAGTGAATCCAGTGCTTGCAGTACTAACACTGCCCTTTCTCAGCTGCTTTTTGCTCTGGTTAGCTTTGTAGCATGTGAATCTATTGGCAAAACACTTGGAATTTGCATCCACACTCCTCTAGCACAGATGTATAATGTAGAAGAGAAACTTTATCCCATGAAAGTGGAAAATGTTACTAAAAAATCAAATGAGACACTGTACAGACTGGGGAAAAAAAAAAAAAGCAAAACCTGGGCAAAATTAAAAAGAAACTGCAAAAACTTTATTCTATTTCTTTGTTTTTTCGAGAAAGTTATCTCGCCTGCTAAGGTAAAAACAAAAGACAAATTGATTTTTCTAGGTTACTGTATTGTTTAAAAACAAATGATCAAAATTATTTAGAAGGAAGCTGTTAATCACAGAGTGTATAAGTTAAACAAGCCTAAAATGATCCTTAAAAAAAACATATAACATGCCTTTTGCATATGGCTTAGTCTGTATCTATAGTTTTTTTAATGACAGGGTTTAAATAAAACTGTGAATTTATCAAATATCAGCATCTTAGATGCAGTGTCTCAGATGGAAGAATTTTGTACAGTATTATTAGATGGGTACAAGTGAACAACAACTGATTTTTTTTTTCCTTTTTTTAAATGTAATTTAGCTAGTCTGGAGGTGACAATTCATAAAGCTGAAAAGGCTGAACACAGTAAAGCCTGGGAATTAGAAGTGCTTGATTGACTGCAGTATCTAACTCACATTCTTCTCACTGCAGTAAAACCCACACGTAGAAAAAGCACCAAACTCCCACGGTGGCAAGTACGGATGTGGACAGGAAAACAGACGAGAACGAGAGAAAAGCACAAAGGAAGTCTGCACAACCCACAGCTAGTCCACGTTAACGAAAAGACAGAGGCATGTTCACCCCAGCCTTGTAACACCTCAGCAAGGTACTGAGGTCCTGACGTCCAGTGGCTAAAATAGCCTCCGAAATGTGCTTCCTGCTTATTCCAAGAGCTTAACTGTGCTCATACACCCACCCGGGCAGCACATCATCCTGTGCAGACTGTATGTAGGGGATGCTTCCTGAGAAGACATCAAGTCTTGTAGCAATTGGACCAGAGCACTGATGAGCCCACAACTGATAATCGGTATAATCAGATTCATATATGAGAGTTGGATAGGATGGAGGCAAGACAGGAAGAAGGGGGTCTGCTATAAACTTAATTCTGTAGTTCTTTAACAGACTGTAGGAGTGTTGCCAGGTGTCCCACCTGGGTGTCTGAGCTGAGGACTTGCCATTACCTGGCTTCCCAATATTTATCATCACTATCATGACAACACTCTTGTAATTATTACTCCATCACAACTTACAAACTTGTGCTGCTTTTATCAGGTGAACAGACTAGACTATTTCACTTGGAAGGACCCTCAAGGATCGTCTAGTCCAATTGCCTGAACAATTCAGGGCTGATCAAAACTTAAACCATGTTGTTAAGGGCACTGTCCAAATGCCTCAAACACTGACAGGCTTTGAGCATCAACCACTTCTCTGGGAAGCCTATTTCAGGTTTTGCCCACCCTCTTGGTAAAGAAATTCTTCCAAATGTCCAGACTGAACCTTTCCTGGCACAGCTTTGAACCATTCCCACATATCCTGTCCCTGGATCCCAGGGAGACGAGCTCAGCACCTCCTCCTTCATGCCCCCTCCTCAGTTAACTGTAGAGATCAACCAGGTCGCTCCTCAGCCTCCTTTCCTCCAAACTAGACAAGCCCAGATTCCTCAGCTTCTCCTCATAAGACATACCTTCCAGTCCTGTCACCAGCTCTGTTGCCCTCCTCTAGATGCATTCAAGTACCTTCACATCCTTCTTAAATGGTAGGGCCCAGCACTGCACACAGTGCTCCGGGTGAGGCCACAGCAATGCTGAATCCAGAGGGACAATCCCCTCTCTTGAACCAGCTGGTCGTGCAGTCTGTGATGAGCCCCAGGATGGGGTTTGTCCTCTTGGTACCAGGGCACACTGCTGGCTCCTGTTGAGCTGCTGTTGACCCACATTACTCCATCCTAGATGCAGAATCCAGCTCTTTGGCATGTTAAACAATCCCATTTATCACTGCCCAATGCTCCAATCTATCCAGATCCCTCTGTAAGGCCTGCTGTCCCTCAGGAGTAAACAGCACCTCTCAGTGTGGTATCATCATCAAACATCCTAATGGTACCTTCAACTCCTGCATGCAGACTGTTGATAAATGCATTGAACAGCATTGGCCTGACAATTGAGCCCTGAGAAACACCACTGGTTGACTAGTCACCAGCCAGATGTAGCCCAAATCACTACAACCTTCTGAGCTCTGCTTTCCAGCTGCTTCTTCACCCAGCACACCACGAACCCACTCATCCCACAGCTGGACAATTTGTCCAGAAGCATGATGCAAGGGACAGTATCAAAAGCCCCCTAAAATCCAGAAAAACTACATCCACTACCTTCTCTTCATCCACTGGGTGGGTGACCTTTTCCTAGAAGGATATCAATTTAGTTAGAAAGAACTTTCCCTTTGCAAACCCCTGTTGACTGCCCCTGATGATCACATTGCTCTTTAAATGTCTTTCAGTAGTACCCAGTAACATCTTCTCCATAATCTTTCTGGGTGCTGAGGTCAGGCTCACAGGTCTGTAGCTCCCTGGGTCTTCCCTCACACCCTTTTTGTAGATCAGAATAGAATTGGCCAGCTTCCAGTCAGCAGGGACCTCCCCAGACTTCCCAGACCTTTGGCTGATGATTGAGAGGGGTCGTGCTGTAACATCCGACAGCTCTTTTGGGACTCTGGAGTGACTCCCATCAGGCCCTACGGACTTGTGAACATTTGGCTTACACAGATGGTTCCTTACAACTTTAGTATCCACAAATGGAAAGTCATTGTTCCTGCAGTCATGGTTCTCTGACTCAGTATTAACGACTGAAGCAAAAAATGCATTGAATGCCTCTGCTTTTTTTCATCCCTGTTAGTCAGGTGACCCAGTACTGGTCCAATGTTTTCTTTAGATCTCTCGCTACTCACTTCTGCCGAGATCTCCCTGAACTGTGTAGGATTTATAAAGCTAACAGAAATCAGAGAACCTGTAGACAAAGTCAAGCCATCCAGCGAGGGTAAGGACAGCAATGTGGACATGGGACATTTAAGGAATACTTGAGCTGCCCAAGCAGCATGTTCCAACTTTTTGTGGTTTTATGTATTTCTAAGCTATGCTTCCTTTCCAGGTTCAGCTCCACATGAGTCTTTTTAGAGATCATCATCAACAAAAGTTCTCAAAAACAATTTTAAATTCACTTCGTACATGGGCACAGATCCCTCAAATGCTGCACTGATTGCCAGATGCATCAAGGAGGCCTGAAAGGGTGGCAAAGAACTCTGCACAGATTTCTTGTGTGATTTCCACAGATACTTACAGCATTATTAGTAGATGTGTTTCCCCCCAATACTTTACTTACAAATACAACAACTATTCCATTATCTATACAGTATAGCACAGTTGCCATTACTCTTCCCTCTACCGACTGCAGGAGAGGTCCAAACACCTGGACAATTTATGTCCGAGACCTGCAGCAGCAAGAAAGTTTCCAAAAATAAACCAGTCATTCTTCATTGCATTTTCAGCACAGGCTGAATATACCATGCCAACTACTAAGTCTTAATTCAGAGAAATCCACCTTCTGCTTAGGAGATTATAGATAAAAGAAATTCATGAGGTCAAAGTAGAAGACACCTGGTCCATAGATGTTAACAGAATTACTCTTTTAATAGAAAGTGTCTTACAAAATTAATATCAATATTAATATCAAGGCTCTCTTAGATGGTATGTGTTTGAGCATGGGAAAACTCAACTTGTATCTCAAAAAAACAAAGTAAATTTGACACAACCTAAAGCAAACAACCTGCCTTAAAGGCCAAGAGACTCTTGGGGATGAAGAACATTAAGGGAGAAGCAGTGTGGCCAACAGTCAGGCTTCAGTGCCTAAATAAATGATTAGCAGGCAGGAGTGCCAGGCAGCTAGTGATTCCATCA